GTTTGTGAACAAGAGTTGTGAACAGGGGTTTGTGAACAAGAGTTGTGAACAGGGGTTTGTGAACAATAGTTGCAATCAGGCGCTTGTGAACAGGGGTTTATGAACAGGGGTTTGTGAACAAGAGTTGTGAACAGGGGTTTGTGAACAAGAGTTGTGAACAAGAGTTGTGAACAGGGGTTTGTGAACAGCGGTTTGTGAACAAGAGTTGTGAGCAAGAGTTGTGAACAGGGGTTTGTGAACAGGGGTTTGTGAACAAGGGTTTGTGAACAAGAGTTGTGAACAGGGGTTTGTGAACAGGGGTTTGTGAACAGATGTTTGTGAACAAGAATTGTGAACAGGGGTTTGTGAACAGGGGTTTGTGAACAGAGGTTTGTGAACAGGGGTTTGTGAACAGGGGTTTGTGAACAGGGGTTTGTGAACAGGGGTTTGTGAACAAGAGTTGTGAACAGGGGTTTGTGAACAGGGGTTGTGAACAGGGGTTTGTGAACAAGAGTTGTGAACAGGGGTTTGTGAACAGGGGTTTGTGAACAGGGGTTGTGAACAGGGGTATGTGAACAGGGGTTTGTGAACAGATGTTTGTGAACAAGAGTTGTGAACAGGGGTTTGTGAACAGGGGTTTGTGAACAGAGGTTTGTGAACAAGAGTTGTGAACAGGGGTTTGTGAACAAGAGTTGTGAACAAGAGTTGTGAAGAGGGGTTTGTGAACAGGGGTTTGTGAACAAGAGTTGTGAACAGGGGTTTGTGAACAAGAGTTGTGAACAGTGGTTTGTGAACAGCGGTTTGTGAACAAGAGTTGTGAACAAGAGTTGTGAACAGGGGTTTGTGAACAGGGTTTTGTGAACAGGGGTTTGTGAACAAGAGTTGTGAACAGGGGTTTGTGAACAGGGGTTTGTGAACAGGGGTTTGTGAACAAGAGTTGTGAACAGGGGTTTGTGAACAGGGGTTGTGAACAGGGGTTTGTGAACAGCGGTTTGTGAACAGGGGTTTGTGAACAAGAGTTGTGAACAGGGGTTTGTGAACAGGGTTTGTGAACAGGGGTCTGTGAACAATAGTTGTGAACAGGGGTTTGTGAACAGGGGTTTGTGAACAGGGGTTTGTGAACAGGGGTTTGTGAACAGAGGTTTGTGAACAAGAGTTGTGAACATAGGTTGAGGTTAACCACGGCTGGGGAGCGGTAGTGTAGTGGTCAGCGCTGCGCTGTGAACCCGGCGAGCCGAGTTCAATTCCCGCTCACGGCCAGCACCAGTGACGATTATTCTGAGACGGTACTGGGCATCCCCTAGGTTGACTCAGCCTCAAAGCGTACCTGGTGCGGTGTGTTGCAAACGTCGCCACTGGGGAGACAAAGGCGGCCGGGCGTGGTGCTGGCCACCCACCCCCTCGTGTACCGTTCGGGCCTTCATAGGTGCTACCCGCTAACAGCACTTGCCCCTACAGTCCGTGAAGGCTACACGGGGGATCTTTGTTTTGGTGAACCCCAGACGTAGAAGGGGGTTGGGGGCGGGTTGGGGGGGCCGCCACCCAGGACGAAAACCTGTGACCACGAGGGTACCGGTTGGATTCGTGTTGCCGGCACGGTCATTACGACCCTCCTCTCTGTCTCTCTCCGCGAGGCACGACACATCCAGCGAGCTTCAGCAGTGCGAAGGTCAACGCATCTGCTGCCGGGCCAAGGCTGGCCGTGCTGCAGATGAGGCACTCGAACGCCGAAGCCGGTCATCGAACGCTTTGCTCGCTCCCAATCAGGGCCGTCGCTCGCTCGCGGAATGCTCGACCGCTGATGGGATGTGTCGAATGAATACAAATATACACTTTTATCTGTCGAGATATTAAGGTGGGAAGGAAGGTTCATGATTGCGCCCGGTTCATGAACCGTTGGTCGACGAAAAGTGGGATTGTAAAACGTCTCCTGAGCAACGCGGCATGCCCCCAGGATCGAGCTCCCTCAGCTCCCACTTCACCACGCGGGGCGGAACGCGTCACTCAGGGCCCCCCCTCCTCCCCCTTCTCCCACCCCTCCCTTCTCTTCAGCACCCCCACCCTCCATGGATTATAATCTCTCATTACTGTACTACCCATCCACACTCACTGACCCCCCCCCGTCTCCCTCCCCTCTACCCCGCCCCCTCCCCTATCGCCCTCTCGTCCCCCCTCCCCCATTCATCTTTCCCCTTCCCACCTCCACACCCCTCCTCACCCCTCCCCCCTGGCCCCTCTCCACCCCTCTCCACCCCTCTCCCCTACTCACTCGCGAGCCTATTCCTACCCCTCCCCTCTATCCCCCCTCCCCGCTACCCCCTCCCCGCTACCCCCCCTCCCCGCCACCCCTCCCCTCTATCCCCCCCTCCCCGCTACCCCCCTCCCCTCTATCCCCCCTCCCCGCCACCCCTCCCCTCTATCCCCCCTCCCCGCTACCCCCTCCCCTCTATCCCCCCTCCCCGTTACCCCCTCCCCGATACCCCCTCCCCTCTATCCCCCCTCCCCGCTACCCCCACGCCCCGCCCCCCCATCCCGCGGCAGCATCTGTGCGCTCAGAGCTCCAGGTGGTGAGCCGCTTCACGCAGCCGCTAATTGTGAACCCCTCCGCGGTCGCGACGCGGTCCGTCGCTTTCCCCCTCCTGCTCGTGCTAGCGGGCAAGTGTGCCCTGGGGGCACTCTGCCCTGGGGCTCTGTGCCCTGGGGGCTCTCTGCCCCCCCCTCCCCCCCGCAATGCCCTGGGGGCACTCTGCCCTGGAAGCTCTCTGCCCCCCCCCGCAATGCCCTGGGGGCACTCTGCCCCCCGCAATGCTCTGGAGGCTTTGGCTTGAGCAGTGAACTCAGGAGCGAGGGGATTGTCTCGATCCGCTTGCGTGAGTGAGTCAGGGGGCCGAGTAATTGACTCCGGTGAAGCTTTTCAGATATTTTACACTCGCAAGGTCCTCGTTATATGTCAGCCACGGGACATTTCGCAACATCTCTGATTCGTTTTCCCACTTTGACACCAATAAAACAAACGGAGGCTCGCCGTTGTAAAGAATTGCACTCGAGATGACGAATCGCCTTGAACGGCCCACGGAAGCGGACACAACAGAGCTACCTCCGAGTTCCCTTCTTCGTTGAGTGGCGCTCCCGTCCACGCAGAGTCGAGGGCATCGCCACTCACACCGCTGCCCTGCCCCACGGGAGCATCGGCTCCCCGCACGGCGCTCAGACCCCGATGTTGTTCATTCTCATCGCTGGCACAAAGCCCGACTAGACACAGACACGGACTGACTAATAAATTGATAAAATAAAATAACACAATAATATTCTCACGACGTTTCGGCCACAAGACAAGCGGCCTTCATCAGGTGAAGGGGACGAGACTGTCTGGAGGACAGCGCTGTCGTGAGAATATTATTGTGTTATTTTATTTTATCAATTTATTATTTTATTCGCATTCTACGTGACTTTACCGAAAGAACCAAAGAAGATGAATCCTTGCAGTCACCAAAGCTTTAAATCGAAATTTAACGGACTGACTACTTTATCTTTTGTAAACGTGACACATTTTTTTTACTGTTTGGCCGTGTCGGGCGGTGGAGGGTTACGACACATTTATAAATAACGCGATCTAACCCGAAAAAAACCCCTTTATTATGAATAATATTGGTCGCGAAAGCCGACGTGTTAAACTGTGGGTGGTCTGTCGCGTGCTGTAATTGGTGATCGATCCGAGGCCATCAATTCGCTACACTTGAGAACCCGTTTACTCATAACTCGGTCTCTGTGCGAGAGTCTATGGGTCTCTGTGCGAGTCTAAGGATCTCTATGCGGGAGTCTATGGGTCTCTGTGTGAGTCTATTGATCGCTTTATATGGATATATGGGTCTCTTTGCGAGACTATGGATCTCTGTACGAGTTAATGGGTCTCTGTGTGAGTCTATGGATATATTTGTGGGTCGATGGATCTGTGTGAATCTATGTGTCTCTGTGCGAGTCTATGGATATCTGTGTGAGTCTATGGGTCTCTGTGTGAGTCTATGGAACCCTTTATGGGTCTATGGGTCTGGTCTCTGTGTGAGTCTTTGGGTCTCTGTGCGAGTCTATGGGCCTCTGTGTGAGTCTATGGGTCTCTGTGTGAGTTTATGGATTTGTGTGTGAGTCTATGGATCTCAGTGTGAGTCTATGGATGTCAGTGGGAGTCTATGGATCTCGGTGTGAGTCTATGGATCTCTGTGTGAGTCTATGGGTCTCTGTGCGAGTCTATGGGCCTCTGTGTGAGTCTATGGGTCTCTGTGTGCATCTATGGAACCCTTTATGGGTCTATGGGTCTGGTCTCTGTGTGAGTCTATGGGTCTCTGTGTGAGTCTGTGGGTATCTGTGTGAGTCTATGGTCTCTTTGTGGGTATATTGGTCTCTATGAGAGTCTATGGGTCTCTGTGCGAGTCTATGGGTCTCTGTGTGAGTCTATGGGTCTCTGTGTGAGTCTATGGATCTTTGTCTGAGTCTATGGGTCTCTGTGTGAGTCTATAAGGTCTCTGTGAGTTTACGAGTCTCTGTGCGAGTCTATGGGTCACTGTGTGAGTCTATGGGTCTCTGTGTGAGTTTAAGAGTCTCTGTGCGAGTCTATGGGTCTCTGTGTGAGTCTATAGATCTTTGTCTGAGTCTATGGGTCTCTGTGTGAGTCTATGGGTCTCTGTGTGAGTTTACGAGTCTCTGTGTGAGTCTATGGGTCTCTGTGCGAGTCTATGGGTTTCTGTGTGAGGCTATGGGTCTCTGTGCGAGTCTATGGGTCTCTGTGTGAGTCTATGGGTCACTGTGCGAGTCTATGGGTCTCTGTGCGAGTCTATGTGTCTCTGTGCTAGTCTATGGGTCTCTGTGCGAGTCTATGGGTCTCTGTGTGAGTCTGTGTCTCTGTGCGAGTCTATGGGTCTCTGTGTGAGTCTATGGGGCATTGAACCCAGAACCATTCTTGCTGTAGTCACCCTGCACCGTATGAACTGCCCCGTTTCTGTGCCCCCCCCCTCCCCACGATGCAGGAGGCGGGTGCCAGGGAACGGTGGCCCCCCAGACCCTCCACGCCCGCCCCCCGATGCCCCTGCAGCACCCCGCAGGGCTCAAGAGCTTCCTCCCCTTCCCAGGGGAGGGCGCGCCGACGAGACTCAGCCTGTTCCACAACTTCCCAAATGTGAGCGACCTCCTCACCGCAAGACAACGTTCCCCCGTGCAGCCTTCACAGACTGTCAGGGCAAGTGTTGCGGATGATATAAAATACAAAGATAAATATTGTCCCCCTATAGCCTTCACAGACTGTTAGGGCAAGTGTTGGGGGTGATATAAAATACAAAGATAAAGATTGTCCCCCTATAGCCTTCACAGACTGTTAGGGCAAGTGTTGGGGGCGATATAAAATACAAAGATAAAGATTGTCCCCCTATAGCCTTCACAGACTGTCAGGGCAAGTGTTGCGGGTGATATAAAATACAAAGATAAAGATTGCCCCCATATAGCCTTCACAGACTGTTAGGGCAAGTGTTGGGGGTGATATAAAATACAAAGATAAAGATTGTCCCCCATATAGCCTTCACAGACTGTCAGGGCAAGTGTTGGGGGTGATATAAAATACAAAGATAAAGATTGTCCCCCATATAGCCTTCACAGACTGTCAGGGCAAGTGTTGGGGGTGATATAAAATACAAAGATAAAGATTGTTCCCCCTATAGCCTTCACAGACTGTTAGGGCAAGTGTTGCGGATGATATAAAATACAAAGATAAAGATTGTCCCCCTATAGCCTTCACAGACTGTCAGGGCAAGTGTTGGTGGTGATATAAAATACAAAGATAAAGATTGTCCCCCATATAGCCTTCACAGACTGTCAGGGCAAGTGTTGCGGATGATATAAAATACAAAGATAAAGATTGTCCCCCTATAGCCTTCACAGACTGTTAGGGCAAATGTTGGGGGTGATATAAAATACAAAGATAAAGCTTGACCCCATATAGCCTTCACAGACTGTTAGGGCAAGTGTTGGGGGTGATATAAAATACAAAGATAAAGATTGACCCCATATAGCCTTCACAGACTGTTAGGGCAAGTGTTGGGGGTGATATAAAATACAAAGATAAAGATTGTCCCCCTATAGCCTTCACAGACTGTTAGGGCAAGTGTTGGGGATGATATAAAATACAAAGATAAAGATTGACCCCATATAGCCTTCACAGACTGTTAGGGCAAGTGTTGGGGGTGATATAAAATACAAAGATAAAGATTGACCCCATATAGCCTTCACAAACTGTTAGGGCAAGTGTTGGGGGTGATATAAAATACAAAGATAAAGATTGCCCCCATATAGCCTTCACAGACTGTCAGGGCAAGTGTTGGGGGCGATATAAAATACAAAGATAAAGATTGCCCCCATATAGCCTTCACAGACTGTCAGGGCAAGTGTTGGTGGTGATATAAAATACAAAGATAAAGATTGCCCCCATATAGCCTTCACAGACTGTTAGGGCAAGTGTTGGGGGTGATATAAAATACAAAGATAAAGATTACCCCCATATAGCCTTCACAGACTGTTAGGGCAAGTGCTGTTAAAGATACACCGACACACTAACACGGACAAAGATCCCCCGTGTAGCCTGTAACAGACTGTCGGGGTGAGTTGCTGTTTGGTGGCAAGTAGCTGCACCGATGAAGGCCGGCACTGTGGCACACCAGGTCAGCACCAACGCCCGGCCGCCTTTGTCTCCCCAGTGGCGATGTTTACTACAAACCGCACCGGGGTACTCATTTACGACTTGAGTCGACCCTAAGCAACAACAATCTCTACAACGTGGTACTCATTTTATCCACCCCCCCCATAGGGATGAGCCATCACCACCATCATCATCGTCGCCGTGAGCCGTGGTCTATCCACTGGTGGATGAAGGCCTCCCTGAGCCCTCCGCACAGAGGCGTGAGGAGTCAACCACGGGGCGAGCGGGAGGAGATGGAGAGAGAGAGAGAGATCAGGAGGGGGGCAGGGAGGGAATGTGTAAAGGGAGATGGGAGAGAGAAGGGGGAGAGAGAGGAAGATGGGAAAGGAGATCGCTGGGAGAGAGGGAGATAGAGGAGAGAAAGAGCGAACTAGGGGAGAGAGAGAGCGATGGGGGGTAGGAGGGTGGTGGTGTGGGGGGAGACAGGAGAGATGGAGAGAGATGGAGAGGAGAGAGGAGGGGGGGGGGGGAGTGACACAGTGAGAGAGATGGAGAGGAGAGAGGAGGTGGGGTGAGTGACAAAGTGAGAGAGATGGAGAGGAGGTGGGGTGAGTGACAAAGTGAGAGAGATGGAGAGGTGGGGGTAAGTGACAAAGTGAGAGAGATGGAGAGGAGAGAGGAGGGGGGGTGAGTGACAAAGTGAGAGAGATGGAGAGGAGAGAGGAGGGGGGGGGTGAGTGACAAAGTGAGAGAGATGGAGAGGAGAGAGGAGGTGGGGTGAGTGACAAAGTGAGAGAGATGGAGAGGAAAGAGGAGGTGGGGTGAGTGACAAAGTGAGAGGGATGGAGAGGAGGGAGGAGGTGGGGTGAGTGACAAAGTGAGAGAGATGGAGAGGAGAGAGGAGGTGGGGTGAGTGACAAAGTGAGAGAGATGGAGAGGAGAGAGGAGGTGGGGTGAGTGACAAAGTGAGAGAGATGGAGAGGAGAGAGGAGGTGGGGTGAGTGACAAAGTGAGAGGGATGGAGAGGAGAGAGGAGGGGGGGTGAGTGACAAAGTGAGAGGGATGGTGAAGAGAGAGGAGGTGGGGTGACAAAGTGAGAGATATGGAGAGGAGGTGGGGTGAGTGACAAAGTGAGAGGGATGGTGAGGAGAGAGGAGGTGGGGTGAGTGACAAAGTGAGAGAGATGAAGAGAAGAGAGGTGGGGTGAGTGACAAAGTGAGAGGGATGGTGAGGAGAGAGGAGGTGGGGTGAGCGACAAAGTGAGAGAGATGGAGAGGAGTGAGGAGGTGGGGTGAGTGACAAAGTGAGAGAGATGGAGAGGAGAGAGGAGGTGGGGTGAGTGACAAAGTGAGAGAGATGGAGAGGAGGGAGGAGGTGGGGTGAGTGACAAAGTGAGAGAGATGGAGAGGAGAGAGGAGGTGGGGTGAGTGACAAAGTGAGAGAGATGGAGAGGAGAGAGGAGGTGGGGTGAGTGACAAAGTGAGAGAGATGGAGAGGAGAGAGGAGGTGGGGTGAGTGACAAAGTGAGAGAGATGAAGAGGAGAGAGGAGGTGGGGTGAGTGACAAAGTGAGAGAGATGGTGAGGAGAGAGGAGGTGGGGTGAGTGACAAAGTGAGAGAGATGGAGAGGAGAGAGGAGGGGGGGTGAGTGACAAAGTGAGAGGGATGGTGAGGAGAGAGGAGGTGGGGTGAGTGACAAAGTGAGAGAGATGAAGAGAAGAGAGGTGGGGTGAGTGACAAAGTGAGAGGGATGGTGAGGAGAGAGGAGGTGGGGTGAGCGACAAAGTGAGAGAGATGGAGAGGAGTGAGGAGGTGGGGTGAGTGACAAAGTGAGAGAGATGGAGAGCAGAGAGGAGGTGGGGTGAGTGACAAAGTGAGAGAGATGGAGAGGAGGTGGGGTGAGTGACAAATTGAGAGAGGTGGAGAGGAGAGAGGAGGTGGGGTGAGCGACAAAGTGAGAGAGATGGAGAGGAGAGAGGAGGTGGGGTGAGTGACAAAGTGAGAGAGATGGAGAGGAGAGAGGAGGTGGGGTGAGTGACAAAGCAAGAGAGATGGTGAGGAGAGAGGAGGTGGGGTGAGTGACAAAGTGAAAGAGATGGAGAGGAGAGAGGAGATGGGGTTAGTGACAAAGTGAGAGAGATGGAGAGGAGAGAGGAGGTGGGGTGAGTGACAAAGTGAGAGAGATGAAGAGGAGAGGGGAGGTGGGGTGAGTGACAAAGTGAGAGAGATGGTGAGGAGAGAGGAGGTGGGGTGAGTGACAAAGTGAGAGAGATGAAGAGGAGAGAGGAGATGGGGTGAGTGACAAAGTGAGAGAGATGGTGAGGAGAGAGGAGGTGGGGTGAGTGACAAAGTGAGAGAGATGAAGAGGAGAGAGGAGATGGGGTGAGTGACAAAGTGAGAGAGATGGTGAGGAGAGAGGAGGTGGGGTGAGTGACATAGTGAGAGAGATGAAGAGGAGAGAGGAGGAGGTGGGGTGAGTGACAAAGTGAGAGAGATGAAGAGAAGAGAGGAGGTGGGGTGAGTGACAAAGTGAGAGAGATGGAGAGGAGAGAGGAGGTGGGGTGAGTGACAAAGTGAGAGATGGAGAGGAGAGAGGAGGTGGGGTGAGTGACAAAGTGAGAGAGATGGAGAGGCGAGAGGAGGTGGGGTGAGTGACAAAGTGAGAGAGATGAAGAGGAGAGAGGAGGTGGGGTGAGTGACAAAGTGAGAGAGATGGAGAGGAGGTGGGGTGAGTGACAAAGTGAGAGGGATGGAGATTATAGAGGAGGTGGGGTGAGTGACAAAGTGAGAGATGGAGAGGAGAGAGGAGGTGGGGTGAGTGACAAAGTGAGAGAGATGGAGAGGAGAGAGGAGGTGGGGTGAGTGACAAAGCGAGAGATGGAGAGGAGAGAGGAGGTGGGGTGAGTGACAAAGTGAGAGAGATGGAGAGGAGAGAGGAGGTGGGGTGAGTGACAAAGTGAGAGAGATGGAGAGGAGAGAGGAGGTGGGGTGAGTGACAAAGTGAGAGAGATGGTGAGGAGAGAGGGCAGGGGGTGAGTGACAAAGTGAGAGAGATGGAGAGGAGAGAGGAGGTGGGGTGAGTGACAAAGTGAGAGAGATGGAGAGGAGAGAGGGCAGGGGGTGAGTGACAAAGTGAGAGAGATGGAGAGGAGAGAGGAGGTGGGGTGAGTGACAAAGTGAGAGGGATGGAGAGGAGAGAAGAGGTGGGGTGAGTGACAAAGTGAGAGGGATGGAGAGGAGAGAGGAGGTGGGGTGAGTGACAAAGTGAGAGGGATGGAGAGGAGAGAGGAGGTGGGGTGAGTGACAAAGTGAGAGAGATGAAGAGGAGAGAGGAGGTGGGGTGAGTGACAAAGTGAGAGGGATGGAGAGGAGAGAGGAGGTGGGGTGAGTGACAAAGTGAGAGAGATGAAGAGGAGAGAGGAGGTGGGGTGAGTGACAAAGTGAGAGGGATGGAGAGGAGAGAGGAGGTGGGGTGAGTGACAAAGTGAGAGGGATGGAGAGGAGAGAGGAGGTGGGGTGAGTGACAAAGTGAGAGAGATGAAGAGGAGAGAGGAGGTGGGGTGAGTGACAAAGTGAGAGGGATGGAGAGGAGACGAAATGAGGAGCAGCACGTGGGAGAGAGACGAGGGGGGGGGAGGAGCGATGGAGAGGAGCGAGAGACAGAGGGAGGGGAGGAGCTCGCGGAGAGATGGAGCCGCTTGGGATCTCGGTTATTTCTGTTCCAGCGACATCACCGGAGACGCGGAGTCGATGGGCGCGCGCAGTGATCTGACAGAGCACGCGTGGGGAGCGGTGGTGCAGCGGTTAGCGCGCTGCGCTACGAACCCGGCGGCCCCAGTTCGATTCCCGCTCACGGCCGACACCGGCGACGATTACCTGCAGCGGTTCTGAGCCTCCCCTAGGTCGACTCAGCCTCAAATGAGTACTTAGAGCGGTGTGTAAACATGGCCACTGGGGAGACAATGGCGGTCGGGCGTGGTGCTGGCCACCCACGCTCTCGTGTGCTGTACCAGTCTTCATTAGGTGCTCGCTAACAGCACTTGCCCCAACAGTCTGTTAAAGGCTACACGGCGGAATCTTTGTATCTGTGTGTGTGTGTGCGTACGTGAATGGAGCCCATAGCTAACACAGAAACAGGGCCCTTACCGATCAACATCCGGGCTCCTCACCAGCCACGGGTTCAAGCGAAGCCTGACTGCTGATGAGACACCCAGTGTCGAAGCCGCTCCAGAGCTGTGCTCGTGCTGAGCCAGCGCTGCTGAAAATGGGGCGCTTGCGTGCGGGCTGATGGGATGCGTAAAGGAATCAAACCAGAGCGTACATTTGCGGGCGGGTGGAGTGCCTGCCGAGTTACATTCTTACTGACGAGCACGTCTCTTGGACGTAGCCCTCCTAACTCAACCCCCCCCCGTGCCCCCCCCCGCCTCCCCCCGCATGCCCCCCCCCGCATGCCCCCCCCCCATCTCAGATGGATCCGGTACAGAAGGCGGTCATCAACCACACGTTCGGGATGACTCCAGCCCCACGCAAGCGACAGATCATCACCTGCAGCCTGTGCCAGATCAGGTTCAACTCGCAGGTAAGGCGGGTCCCCTCCCCCCACACACACACACACGAAATTAGACAAAGAGCTCCCGTGTAGCCTTTGCAGGCTGTTGGGGCAAGTGCTGTTCTTGAGCACAGACCCAGAACGAGTTCCATAGACTCACACAGAGATCCATAGACCCACACAGAGACCCATAGACCCACACAGAGACCCATAGACTCACACAGAGATCCATAGACCCACACAGAGACCCATAGACTTGCACAGAGACCCATATATCCATATAAAGGGATCAATAGACTCACACAGAGACCCATAGACTCGCACAGAGACACATAGACTCACACAGAGACCCATACACCCACAAAGAGATACATAGACTCACACAGAGACCCATAGACTCACAAAGAGACCCATAGACTCACACAGAGATTTATAGACCCACAAAGAGTTCCATAGACTCACACATAGATCCATAGACCCACAAACAGTTCCATAGACTCACACAGAGATCCATAGACTCACACAGAGATCCATAGATCCACACAGAGATCCACGGACTCACATAATAACGCTGCTATTTGTGGCCGCAAATAAAAAAAAATATACACTCTGTGACGTTTCGGGCAGTGGCCCTTCTTCAGAGCGACTTGACTCTCCCCCTCTGGCTTTTCATAAGCGCTGTGAAGCAGGGCCATTGCCCGAAACGTCGCACACCACCGCACGGCGGTGGTGTTATTATTATTGAATTTTTGTTGATCGACGAAATAAACTCATTTCCGTTCAGAGTAATAGAAGGGCGTATCAACTATTCCCATTGCTAACGCTGTTGCTGCAGTTTCTGCTGCTGCTGTTGCTGCTGCTGTTGCTGCTGCAGATAATGCAGCAGCGTCAGCATCTGGCAGAGGGAAGGGAGCGATGGCCAACCTGTGCCACGTGGTCGCGGTGACCCCGGCAGATGCCGCCCTTCACCTTCAGCAACATCGCCCCCCTCGTGACGTCACCGTGCCCATAGTTGTTGTTGTGCAACACCTTTGGGGGGGCCGGGGGCAACGGGGGGGTGGGGGGGGGGGGAGTTGGAGGTGGGGGCGGGGGGCACTTGGAGTGGGGGGGAGGAGATGGAGATTGGGGGGGGGCTCTGACGATCGTGAGACCACGGAGCGAACTCTGTAATTGCCCCCCCAGGGAGCTCGAGAGACATCGGGACGGCGTCTTCTTCTCCCGGCCTAACGACTCCCATTGTTGGCTGCCTCTCGCTATAAATACTCCACACTGTGTGTGTGTCTGTGTACACGTGTGTGTGTGTGTACACTGTGTGTGTGTCTGTGTGTGTACACTGTGTGTGTCTGTGTACACGTGTGTGTGTGTCTGTGTGTGTGTGTGTGTACACTGTGTGTGTCTGTGTACACGTGTGTGTGTGTACACTGTGTGTGTGTCTGTGTGTGTACACTGTGTGTGTCTGTGTACACGTGTGTGTGTGTCTGTGTACAGGTGTGTGTGTGTACACTGTGTGTGTCTGTGTACACGTGTGTGTGTGTCTGTGTGTGTGTGTGTACACTGTGTGTGTCTGTGTACACGTGTGTGTGTGTGTGTACACTGTGTGTGTGTCTGTGTGTGTACACTCTGTGTGTGTGTACACGTGTGTGTGTGTCTGTGTACAGGTGTGTGCGTGTACACTGTGTGTGTCTGTGTACACGTGTGTGTGTGTCTGTGTGTGTGTGTGTACACTGTGTGTGTCTGTGTACACGTGTGTGTGTACACTGTGTGTGTGTCTGTGTGTGTACACTCTGTGTGTGTGTACACGTGTGTGTGTCTGTGTACACGTGTGTGTGTGTCTGTGTACACGTGTGTGTGTGTACACTGTGTGTGTCTGTGTGTGTACACTGTGTGTGTGTCTGTGTACACGTGTGTGTGTGTGTGTCTGTGTACAGGTGTGTGTGTGTACACTGTGTGTGTCTGTGTACACGTGTGTGTGTGTCTGTGTGTGTGTGTGTACACTGTGTGTATCTGTGTACACTGTGTGTCTGTGTACATTGTGTGTGTGTCTGTGTGTACACTGTGGTGTGTGTGTCTGTGTGTGTATACACTGTGTGTGTGTCTGTGTACACTGTGTGTGTGTGTACACTGTGTGTGTACACTGTCTGTATGTCTGTGTACACTGTGTGTGTGTGTACACTGTGTGTGTACACGTGTGTGTGTGTCTGTGTGTGTGTACACGTGTGTGTACACTGTGTACACGTGTGTGTGTACACTGTGTGTGTCTGTGTACACGTGTGTGTGTACACTGTGTGTGTGTCTGTGTACACGTGTGTGTCTGTGTGTGTGTACACTGTGTGTGTGTACACTGTGTGTGTGTCTGTGTACACGTGTGTGTGTCTGTGTGTACACTGTGTGTGTGTCTGTGTACACGTGTGTGTGTACACTGTGTGTGTGTGTACACTGTGTGTGTGTCTGTGTACACTGTGTGTGTCTGTGTACACGTGTGTGTACAATGTGTGTGTGTGTCTGTGTGTGTGTGTACACTGTGTGTGTGTGTACATGTGTGTGAAGGATGCCCTGGTGGTCCCCCTTTTTAAGAAGGGGGACCGCACAGACTGTAACAACTACAGGGGCATCTCACTCCTCAGTGTGCCGGGAAAGGTCCTGGCAAGGATTATTCAGCATCGCCTTGCCAGGCACGCTGAGGAGAGGCTTGCGGAGGCCCAATGCGGTTTCAGGAAAGGGCGGTCCTGCACAGATGCCATATTTTCTGTCCGTCTGCTACAGCAGAGGTGTAGGGAATTCCAACAAGACCTACATCTCTGCTTTATTGACCTGGTCAAGGCCTATGGTACCATCAGTAGGCCTGGGCTCTGGGTCGTTTTTCGTGCTTTTGGAGTACCTGACCCTCTGCTCACGATCATTAAGGACCTTCATGATGGTGAGCGGGCCCGGGTAAAACTACGTGGCCGGGAGTCAGAGCCATTCCCTGTACACCTTGGGGTGCGACAGGGATGTCCTCTGGCTCCAACATTATTTAACATCTATTTTGACCACGTAGTTCGTGAAGCCTTCAATAGCTGTACCGGGGGAATCTCCATATGGTACAGATATAATGGGAGGCTAATCGATGCCCGGGTGCGGTCAAGGGATGGCTCCCTATTGCTCAACCACGTTATGTATGCTGATGATTTGGTAATAGCTGTTCAGTCAGAGGAGGAGTTGGAGACGCTGCTGCTGAGACTGGAGCGTGCCACTAAGAGGTGGGGCCTTACCATCAGCCCCACCAAAACTAAGCACCTGCCTGGGTATTTTGTACCATCGGACACTCCACCCCCACAACTCCCAATCGGTGATGGGGCAGTTGTGGAGAGAGTGGAGAGTTTCCCATACCTGGGCAGTGTGCTTATGACTGGCTCCAGTTTAACAGCAGAGGTCTCACTCCGAATCAGTCGAGCGGCAATATCTTTTCATCGGTTGCGTAACGCTGTGTGGAAGCTACCTGGTCTGTCGCTCCGCACTAAGCTTCAGGTCTTCTCGGCCTTTCTCTACGCTTGCGAAACGTGGACCCCCCTAATGGAGCATCTTCGCCGGTTAGAAACATTTAGGCTGGCCTGCCTACGATCCATCCTGGGTTTAACCAGACTGGATTGTGTGAGGAGCTCACAAATCCTTGAAAGATCTGGGCAGGGTCCCATCGGTGAGCTTCTCCGGCAGGCAAGGCTGCGATGGCTGGGTCATGTAGCCCGCATGCCCAGCCACCGCATGCCGAAACAGCTTTTGTTTGGCCGGATTGAGGGGGCTAAGCGGGCGCGGCACGGGCTAGAGAAGAGATGGAGTGATGTGGTACAGGAGGACGTGGAGCTGAGTGGACTTGCCGATGACTGGTACCAGCGGTGTCATGATCGGCCTCTGTGGAGGAGGCTCATGAAGGATGCTACTGGGCAGTTGGAGGCAGTCGCCCTCCAACAACAACGGAGGACGGAGGAGCGACGCTCAGAACAACGAGCGGAGCGCCGGGTGGCTAAAGCACAGCAGGTTGCCACAGTAGGGGGCACAGGTGGTGCATCAGCCAGTCATCTCAGTCAGTCGACCCGTGGCACCTGGGTCTGCCCCGTGACCTCCTGCCAGCGGGCATTCGACACTTCACGTGGCCTCAAGGTGCACATGGCCTGGCACAAACAGTAACTGGCCCCAACTGTCTGCTTCAGGAGGACTAAACTATTTTTTATTGTACCAGGCAAGGCCCCACTGAGCTGCTGTGTCGATCTTTTTCAGAAGCCACCTGGCCACAATTGATAGCAGCTCAACGCAGTGGCGGCTCATCATCATCATTATCACCACGTGGAAGTGCATAGCAGCATACAAATACTCTAAATTCGTCAAGTGTGTGGAGGGGAAAACCGGAGGACCCGGAGAAAAATCTACGCAGCCATGTAGAGAGAGAGAGAGACACAGACTCCAAATATACAGCAGCAGGCATCAGGGTCAGGTTTGAACCCACGACATCCTGTATACCAGGCGAGGTAGTTATCATCTCCTAGCTACCGTGATGATGATGAGAGAGAGACACGCAAACTCCAAATATACAGCAGCAGGCGTCAGGGTCGGGATGGAACCCACGACCTCCTGTATACCAGGCGAGGGAGTTAACATCTCCTAGCCACCGTGATGATGATGATGGGAGAGAGACACACCGCAAACTCCAAATATACAGCAACAGCAGGCGTCAGGGTCGGGATCGAACCCACGACATCCTGTATACCAGGCGAGGTAGTTATCATCTCCTAGCTACCGTGATGATGATGAGAGAGAGACACGCAAACTCCAAATATACAGCAGCAGGCGTCAGGGTCGGGATGGAACCCACGACCTCCTGTAGACCGGGCGAGGTAGTTAACATCTCCTAGCCACCGTGATGATGATGATGATGGGAGAGAGACACACCGCAAACTCCAAATATGCAGCAACAGCAGGCGTCAGGGTCGGGATGGAACCCACGACCTCCTGTAGACCAGTCGAGGTAGTTAACATCTCCTAGCCACCGTGATGAT